AATCGGAGAAAACGTTTGCATATTATAAAGTTCCGCAGTAAATAGCTCATCAAATTTGCGAAATAACTAATTTAAGTTATCAAAAATATTACTTTATTTCTAACTTTTTATACTAAAATTAAATAAAATATAAAATAGGGATATATAGTACCAATCTCAATGTATATATTCTAAGTATTTTATATATATTCTAAGTAAGTATTCTATGTTGTACAATTATTCTATTATTATTTAATTACACTTATATACTTTGTATTTAATTGCTATTAAAATAGTTATTATATAAATGTTAATTTTTCATAAAAAGTTTATTGTAATATAATTCATTATTTCTGTCCTGAAAAGTAAGTTAAATGTCTTAAGTGCGCAGTGGCTATAACGTCTAGCCAGTACCCAGGAAAAAAAAACCTGGATCAGATATTTTTTTGTGACTAAATAATGTTTATATAGGATGAGAACATTACATTTATCAAGTACTTTATCACAAAAAAGTTTTGTAGCTTTTTAGTTTTGTGCCCGTTAAAGGGTTCAGAGATAATGCTAGAAGTCTCACATTTCATTTTGATAATGAATCTTCGCATTCAGCAAAACTAACAGCTGATTTTTTTAAAAAAGCATGTCAAAGTAATAGAACATCTATCTTATCTTTTTCTGATTTTTGCATATGTAACTTTTGTTATTCTTCAACCTAAAAAAGTTACTGCACGAGTCATTTTCTTTCCTAAAAAGAGGTTAAATAGACGGTAAAGCATACCTTGTATTGGTTCTAAGAAATAATTGACTTGACGTATTTAATCTTTGTCAGTTTTCTCAAAGCGATTTCGACAAATGACATTCATCAAGACTACTGTCCTATTCAAAAACTTTAAGTGAGAAAATGGCCTGAATCTAAAACATACATAGAAGGTCACATTACGCGGAATTAGGATTAATACGACAGTCTAACAAGGGTCGCTTAATTCTCAATAATTCGATTATTTTACAATAATATTTGGAATTCTTGATTTCACATATAAATTGTCCCAATACATTAATTGAACGATAAAATTGTGTTTAATTTTTGTACGTGATTTTCTCAAATGCAACTTGAATTGTAAGAGATATTTATCATTGCTATAGCATCTTTTCTTAAATTAAGTTCATTACTTGTGAAGCTGGTATTTGAAATAGGGTCGGTACATTTCATCGGTCATTGAAGCGATAGCCATGTAATAATAAATAAGCAAATATATAAATAATTAAAATTTAAAAAATATATATTTAGAAAACAGAAAAAAATAGCTCATTTAATTATGTGAAAATATCAAATCAAAAGTCACTACTACTCATTTAAATAAACATTTAAAATGGAAGATTAGATATTAGTAGAAAGATAGGTGGTAAAAAACAAAACTACTGTGCGTACTGATTAGCATAAACACAACTCTATATTTTTAGCCTATTTGCATATCAAACATATTGATAAAAGGCTGTAATTTGTATCATGCGAAATAAAGATAGGAAAAAAATAATGGACAGGCAACCTATTTGCATATGATAGTAAACAGCATTGTCCTTGGAATTTTCTCGTGATTGTGGTTATTAAATAAACAAACATAGATCTCGATAATGAAAACAAGTAATATAAAAAAAAATTAAGTCCATTCTTACTAGATCAACATAGAAAAATTTTATTTTAGCTACTTTTTATTAAATAGTTACAATTAATATAAATATGTGTATACATAGGACAGAATCACAACATTAAGTGGTAATTAATTTTTATTAATTATCATTAAAGTATCTTATTGTCATCCAAAACAATCGTGAATATAAAATTTCAGTTCAACTGAATGCTTTAAAACGTGAGGAAAAAAAAAACAACCTTTTCAAGTTTTGATACAAGTCACCAAAAATGATGCCAGCATGGCTGTGTGTGTGTATTTGTAATTCTTTAAATAATTAGTTTTAATCAGTTAATTTTTATTAATTATAATTATATTACTTTATTGTCATCCAAAGTAAGCATGTATATACAATTACAGCTCAATTGAGAGGTTTAAAATGTATTTTATTAACGATTGAAAATTCCACCAAGATAAATAAATAAATATATAGAGAGTGTGAGCTAATAGTAGGAATTGAAAAAAAGTAGCTAAATATATTCATGTTTCTTTTATTTCAACAACATCCTTTTATATATAAATGTGTTCCTCTAAAAATACAAAAAGTGGATTTTGAAATTATTTGAATTTATCACAACACTGAAAAAAGGGGTAATTGAATATAATGATGTTCCTTTATCTCAATTATATTCATATATTATAAAATACGTTGTTGTTGTTACTAATGCCACTTGATAGGCAAAGACCAGAACAAGACCCACAAAATTCATCATGGTAAAGGGCTAAGTGACGCCGGTCGTTAGCCGTAGCTTTGATCACCATACAGGTGACAGAACGATTTAGCTCGGGTTTCACCCCAATTTTGAGGGAGCACACCCTGTGTGGGGGGTCAGGGGCCTTCCCCTTCTCTTCTCTTTCCAACAACTTCACAAGAGGACTTGCGGCTGGACGGCTATTTAAAATACCACCAGGCCACGAATGCACTGTACATTTACAAGCATCCATATCTTCTCCGGGATTCGAACCCAGGCCCAATGCCACAGCAATCAGCGTCGCTAGCCACTATACCGGAAGGGCACGCATTAAAATACGTTTAATGAATTGTTTGAGAAAGTTTCTGTGTTATTGGACTGTCCTACTGTATCATCGGAAGAATTCGTTGCAGTGGATGATGATAATGTGTGTACTGCCTTAATTATGGTAGATAAAAACATTTTAGGGCTTTATCAAAGCTAAAAAATATCATTGGTACAGATTCTTTCGGCAAAAATGAAATGAATAATGCAGCTCTTGATTCCCCATCATCCAAAATGAGGAACACCATGAAAGGTATGCGCAGTTATTTAAATGTGCACTACAATGGTGAAATGAATAAATAAAAAATAGACGACATCGAACAATCTGATACTAAAAAAGACAATGCAAAGAAAAATAGCAGATTATTTTCCAAAACCTTAATATATGTTTTGTTTTTCAAAAAAACTTCAACGTTTTGCATTATATTGCATTAAGTTCTTGTAAATGTTTTCGTTTCATTGATTTTTATTAAATACATGCATATATATACACATCTATTTAAGTAAAATGTGCTCTAATAAACTTAATTTTGTTGAAGTTATGTTTTATTCTTGTAATATCCTTTATAAGACGAAAAAATATATCATTCCCCTCAGTTTTGTGTTAAACGATTTTCATTGCATATTCACAAGGAAATGAAAAAAAAAATGTTATTCTTTAGATCTGCAACATGAGGAGTAAATACCAGAAGAGATTTCAACTAAAAGTACTGATAGCACATTTAAAATAGCATTGCGCTTATTACCATAGAAGCACTCAGGCGAGTATATGCTCCAGGCACCGTATTTGAAACAACCTGATGAGATATGTGGAATTACCCTAAAATAAATTGAATTGTGACAAGCAAATTGAAGCACTCTTACCTGCTGAAAGAGAGACTTACACCGTGCAAACCATTCGATACAACTGTAATAGACTTTTCGGTTCCAGTCTAGGTCCGAGGCACCAATTCTCCGAAGAAGTCCTACATAGCGCTTTTCACATGCTCAACTATTCATGCGCTTTCTATTGACCTAGTATCAGATTTGACCACCGATAGATTTCTGATGGCCCATCGTAGATTCGGGGAACGACGTGGACTTCCACACACCTTCTACACGGGCAATGCCTCAACCTTTCAAGCCGCAAACAAAGAGTTAATTGCTTTATGGAATACACTGTCATCAAAAAATGCTTAACAGTTTTATGCTGAAAATGTTATTTGGTGGAAATTCATTGTACCATGCGTGATTTGGTGGGGAGGAGGGTGGGAAAGGTTGGTTGGAATAATTAAACAATGTTTACGAACAACTCTGGAGAGAGCATTGTTAGACGAAGATAACCTTTCTACCGTGTTGGTAGGAGTTGAAGCCCCTATCAACAGTAGATCTGTGACGGGGCTTTATCGCGCCTTTTAACTAATCTCTGGAATCTTTGGGGCCAGATGGCATTTCAATCCGCCTTTCCCCAAAGAAAAAAGACCGATATGCAGTTAGGAATAGGTATACGGGGAGCTTTAGCATTCGCAAAAAGTGATATGGGGAGTTGAACAAGAGTTTGATAGAAGCCGGAAAGTTCAGGCTCTATTTATTTAGAATTGATAATTACGTAGTATCACTCCTAATCAAATCTCTCTTGTAAGACTTCTGTTGCATTGATCAATATGTATTTAGACAGTAATAAATTAGATATATTTTGGAGCTTTTCGGTGATAAATCATTTATTCCTACAAATCTAGGTCGCGTGGATGAAGAGATGATACTCCAGGGCTTTTTAATGGGAACTGTCTTCAGATTGTTTATCTCCTCAGTCCTTGATGTGTCGAGCGGAATGGATGTTTCGGGTCAGTTTCAGTTGATTCTGAAGAATTAAATACATCTCTAGGCACAAGTCATAAGGTGCAGCATGAAAGTAAAACGTTAATATGTTTTTGTCACCTATTAAAGTGAAACACTCAGCTGATGACGACAAGAGTGAAGTATGTTAACACCAATAAAAAAAAATTTATTTCCCCCTCGAAATATAAAATTTATATCAATTTAAAATAGATGAATGAAATCTTTGTGAGCTTTCATTATGTTTCTTTCAATTCCAACAGTTAGTTCACACACTCCCTACATTATATATATATATATCTTGTTCAAATTTCAATAGTTAATAAAATACACTTTATTCATTCTCTCAAGTTCAAACATATTTTTTTAAACTTGTACTGCATGACACCTAAGTTAATACAGTTTTTTAAATATTAATTCATTAATTAAATTTTTAATGAATAAATAGTAACAAACACAATTAATAGTCCAACATCCTATATAAAAAGGAAAACACGCTCGCTCTGACCCTGTAACACGTGGATAGTGCATTGGACTTTTAATTCAAAGATCGTGGGTTCAAATCTCACCTGGGATGGCCTAATTTCTGAGAATGTGGTTTACTTTACCATACTATTTTATTGGAATGATTAAATTTAATTAATGAAAAATAGTAGCAAACAGAAATAAAATGGTCCAACACTCTATATAGAAAGGAAAATGGAAAATGCATTATTAATATTGTGATTCTGTCATATGTATATATATTAATTGTAATTATATTTAATAAAAAGTAACTAAAATAAAATTTTTCTTTGTTGATTTAAGTAGAAATTGACTTTAAAATTCATTTTTAATATTATTTGTTTATGCTTAAGCCGTTAAATTACTATGTCAATATTAAAGCCGAGCTTTGCTGTCCCATCTCTTCAAACTGAGAGTCTATAAAATAATTTAGTTAAACAAAAGTGTTTGAAATTCATTATGTGTTTACCCACCACGGTAATGACTTATACATCCCAAATTAAAACCAAACCTTATATGTTAAACGACGAATGTAGACGACGAATAAGTAGAGTAAACATCTGTAGGCAAATACCCTGATAAGATCTGTGATAAACTTCTTAAACATTTTTTTATAAAAGACCATTATTCATAGATCACAATTATTAAAAAGCAGGAATAAAAATGATCTGCACTACAATATAAAACACATTTTATTTAAAACTATCTCATTCCATTAAGAATAATTTTTATTGAAGCAATAAAAACAAACAGCCAATGTATACAACAATACAGCAAAATATGTACATGTTATGGCTTCCTACTGTCCAAACAAAAAATATTTTCGAAATAAAGTGAATAAAGGGATGGCGTCTATTTTAAAGTAATGGGATCAGGAGCGTTTAATTTCTCTCTTGAGTATTATTTAAAGGCATTATTTAGGTTTTCTGAAAATTTTAACGCCCTCTAAAGGATTTTTTTTTTACCAAAATATTTATAACAATAAGATTTTCTAATGCAGTCGGACCTTTATATAACGAATTTGCTAAATCCTGGAAAAAAGTTCGTAATTTGGAAAATTCGTTATATAGAGGTTCATCTTTTAATATACTTTATGAATTTAAAATTTGTTTTACGTGGTTTATAAACACTATATATTAAAAAAAGAAATTATTCACACTTTTTTTTAAATTAACATATGTTTATTTTATTTATCTTACCCATCAAAAAGAAAAAAAGCTGCAAGGAAAACAAGAAAAAAGAATGTCGAAAAATTCACTGTATTTTCAATATTAAGAAAATAATTTTATACTAAAATTAATGAATTTTAAGGACATTTTATAATTTAAAGCATACAAGTAATATTAAACATACTTGATTTTATAATTAGAACACGGGGACACGGGACAACTCCCTGAGGTTGAAAGAGGATATCGAAGATGTTTCTAGTGAACTGGGCAATGGGGGTTAAAGGTTGCTCTTCTTGGATGAAACGCCGAGAACTCTATTGCTCTCGGTGAGTTAGGATCTGACAAACCTAGTTCAATATTTATGACCACCATAACATGAGTTAAAGAGAATAACTTGAAATTTTTCAGAAATACTTTAGAAAAAGGGAGAAAAAAATTGAATCACAAAAGAAAAAGTTCGTTATACAGAAAGTGCACTTCGTTATGGAGAGGTTATTTTACGAAGAAAATCATGAAATGTTCAAGGTTCCAGGAAAAAGCTCTCTACATAGAAAAATTCGCAATATAGAGGTTCGTTATATAGAGGTTCGACTGTATTTACTTTTAGCTCTTTTTCAATTCCTAGTATTATCTAATCTCTATATATTTATTTATTTATCTTGGTGGAATTTTCAATCGTTAATAAAATACATTTTAAAGCGCTCAATCGAGCTGAAATTTTATATACATGATTATTTTGAATGACAATACAATAATTTAATTATAATCAATAAAAATTAACTGATTAAAATTAATTATTCAAAGAATTACTAATGCAGCCTCGTTGGCATGACTTTTGGCGACTTAGCGACCCTTTTGGCGACTTGTGTCAAAACTTGAAAAGGTTTTTTTTCTCAAGTTTTAAAGCATTTAATTGAACTGAAATTTTATATACACCATTGTTTTGGATGAAAATACGATACTTTAATGATAATTAATAAAAATTAATGACCACTTAATGTTGTGATTCTGTCCTATGTATATACATATTTATATAAATTGTAACTATTTAATAAAAAGTAGCTAAAATAAAAAAAATTTTTGTTGATCTAAGTAGGAATTGACAAAAAATTTTTTATATTACTTGTTCATATAGGGGGATCTTCGCGAGGTTTATCCTCTCTAAATCGCGTTTTCTTCCGTTCAGCCAAATTGGCATTTTAAGCTGGAACAACTCCTCCAATCAAGTGAACGTCACTACCAAGTAGCTTATAAACATTGAGTGAGATAGAAGAACATATAGAATGGTGGATGTTTGTGGACAATATTGCCACGTTAACTATTTCCTGAATCATAAATGCGTTGTTGTTTGAGAGTAAAGGGATATCTGAGAACTTTTCTTTGGCAAGCTTCAGAGGCTACCTCTCATTTCAGATAAGAACAAATTAATTCTTACCCTTTAGCATGTCTTGTCCACATATTGCGCACAAAGTTCTAACGTTTGACTTTATAAAAGGGTACTCAACCTTTTTTTTTTTGCTGGGCCGCATATATAAGTCAACTATTTCACAAGGAGCCGTAACATGAGGATAAATGGGGGGAGGGAGGGAGAAATGCTTAAAGACCAAGATAACATTGGAACTTTAAAATGTGGAAAATTGATCCAAAAAGTATAACTCCTGTTTTGCTTCTATTAATTATTAATTTTTATATTTTTCATTTTGTCACTAACACTAAATTACAAGCATTTAAGGTATCCGACTACGTTCCGGAACCGTGATTTTACAAAAAGCATAAATAGATAATTTTCATGATACTTAGTGTCACTTTGATTAGAATATATGTATAAAATTGTTTTAAGGATATTTTGACAAAAAAAATTATTTAGATACAATATTTTGGCAAAAAACTAACTTAGAATAGCCTTTTTTCTAAATGTTCTCCTTTTGTAAAAAATGCTTCTATTGTATTAATATTTTTCCTGTATTCAGCTCAGACCTCTCTACAGAGGCTCAACTAGAATTTTTGAAATATATAATTTAGAAGTGGGTTTATCCATATTTTACGACAACAGAGGGGAGAAATTTTAAGAAAAAAGCTCAATAGTATTTCAATTGGTGGTAATTCACCAAAACTAATGTGAATTTTTCAAAAATTCTAGTTGAGCCTCTTAATATAGAGGTCTGAGCTATATACAGGCAAAATATTATTATAATAGGAAATTATTTTTCACAAAGGAGAACATTTTGAAAAAGATTATTCTAAGTGAATTTTTGTAAAATATTGTATTTCAATCGTTTTATTTGTCAAAATGTTCTTAAACAATTTATACATGTATTCCTATCCAAGAGCACTAAATGTCATGAAAATTATTCATTTATGCGCTTTTGCAATATCACGGTTCCTAACGTAGTCGGATATCTTAAGAAACGCACTTTCACAATTTTTTCATCAGAAAACGGTTTCATATGATTACCAATAATATAACAGACTTCATAGGATGTCTTTGTTTCCGCTGTGATACTAACACTGACAAAACACTTTGTTGCTGTTGCAAAGATTATTCAAGAAAGCCTACTTACCACTTCTTGAAAGAGATCTTCGAGGAGAAGTGTCATTGAATGTGATTCCTGTTTATTGGTATTTTTTAAACACAGCACTTTCGTGACAAATCAAACAATTACTGATCCATGTTTGTTTTTCACAAAAAATTAGTCAACTTTCCAATCGTCTTAAAACGATATATTTTCTTCGAATATTTTTCGCTTGCAAGATATGAAAGATAGTTAAAAGTTAGTTTCACTCATTAAATTGCTACTGCACTGTTGTCTGTCATCACTAACCATAACCGTTCCAAATAGAAAAAGAATATCAACTCGTATTCGTAAGACACCGACAGCAAAAAGCAAAGTTGATGTATTTGATTTCTTGATGAAGAATTTTCCACCAAATTTTTAATACAATGTTCCGAAATAAGTACAATTCTCAAAGCAATGAGCGATGACCGGGCAACTTAAAAGGCTCGAGGGCCACAGGTTAAGTATAGCTGGTTTAGATAGATACAGGGAGATTCATTAAATAGTATAAAGTTTGTGACGGACTCACGCGTCTTTTCTTTAACATAACCTTTGGGTTCTTTGGTGGCCAAGATTAATGGCCACTCTTTTCCAACCAAAACCCAAGAAGCGAAATGTGAAAAAGAAATGCAAATAAAGTAGCTTAAATAACGGAAGTTTCAGTAAGTGAGATGGCAATTTGGGGAATGATATTGTGAAAGAGACTGGAGAAATTGACAACCAATCGTGAAGTTACCTGGAAAGGAAATACATTATGCAAGGTGCATACCATTGCAAGCGCGCTCAGACGTTTCCACATAAAGATTGAAACTAAGTTTTGGATTAGGTAAGACTGATTACTTGATATTAGGACTTGTAATATTACATTAGATGTGAGAGTAGGCGGATAAAATAATTATAACTTAGAAAATTGTCTAAGTACGTGATTCGGTTTAACTATCACTGTGGTATTTGTTCATTTTAGATTCTCGCTTATTTAAATTTATCTAAATTGTTTTGAACATTTAAGTTCTATTCTTAATAAAGACATAGTAAGAATCAAAAATGTCTATTCCTTTTACCCAAACCCTACACCTCTAGCTCACACCGACAATCAAGATACGGTCCCCAGGGGGCGGTATCACAAGTTTCAATGCGCTATAAAACGAGGGAAAATGAAAGATATTATGTGTGTTAGCTGCCACAGAGTTCTATGAGATTTTTTCAACTTTCGGTACAGAGTTTCATAGATGTTTTATGTGCGAACCTTTAGTCGTACTATACACATTAAACTGGTCCATCAAGTCCATCGATAGCTGATTGATATCCTGTTTCAGCCCATAAAATCCGACAAAATACGAAATACTTTGTTCC